TGCCTCTAGAAGCTAGGTTATGCCTCTAGTAGCTAGGTTATGCCTCTAGTAGCTAGGTTATGCCTCTACTAGCTAGGTTATGCCTCTAGTAGCTAGGTTGTGCCTCTAATAGCTAGGTTATGCCTTTAGTAGCTAGGTTTTGCCTCTAGTAGCTAGGTTGTGCCTCTAGTAGCTAGGTTGTGCCTCTAGTAGCTAGGATATGACTCTAGTAGCTAGGTTATGCCTCTAGTAGCTAGGTTATGCCTCTCGTAGCTAGGTTATGCCTCTAGTAGCTAGGTTGTGCCTCTAGTAGCTAGGTTGGGCCTCTAGTAGCTAGGTTATGCCTCTAGTAGCTAGGTTATGCCTCTAGTAGCTAGGTTATGCCTCTAGTAGCTAGGTTGTGCCTCTAGTAGCTAGGTTGTGCCTCTAGTAGCTAGGTTGTGCCTCTAGTAGCTAGGTTATGCCTCTAGTAGCTAGGTTGTGCCTCTGGTAGTTAGGTTATGCCTCTAGTAGCTAGGTTATGCCTCTAGTAGCTAGGTTATGCCTCTAGTAGCTAGGTTGTGCCTCTAGTAGCTAGGTTATGCCTCTAGTAGCTAGGTTATGCCTCTAGTAGCTAGGTTATACCTCTAGTAGCTAGGTTATGCCTCTAGTAGCTAGGTTATGCCTCTAGTAGCTAGGTTGTGCCTCTAGTAGCTAGGTTATGCCTCTAGTAGCTAGATTATGCCTCTAGTAGCTAGGTTATGCCTCTAGTAGCTAGGTTATGCCTCTAGTTGCTAGGTTGTGCCTCTGGTAGTTAGGTTATGCCTCTAGTAGCTAGGTTATGCCTCTAGTAGCTAGGTTATGCCTCTAGTAGCTAGGTTATGCCTCTAGTAGCTAGGTTATGCCTCTAGAGCTAGGTTGTGCCTCTAGTAGCTAGGTTATGCCTCTAGTAGCCAGGTTATGCCTCTAGTAGCTAGGTTATGCCTCTAGTAGCTAGGTTATGCCTCTAGTAGCTAGGTTGTGCCTCTAGTAGCTAGGTTGTGCCTCTAGTAGCTAGGTTATGCCTCTAGTAGCTAGATTATGCCTCTAGTAGCTAGGTTGTGCCTCTAGTACCTAGGTTGTGCCTCTAGTAGCTAGGTTATGCCTCTAGTAGCTAGGTTATGCCTCTAGTAGCTAGATTGTGCCTCTAGTAGCTAGGTTATGCCTCTAGTAGCTAGGTTATGCCTCTAGTAGCTAAGTTGTGCCTCTAGTAGCTAGGTTATGCCTCTAGTAGCTAGGTTATGCCTCTAGTAGCTAGGTTATGCCTCTAGTGCTAGGTTGTGCCTCTAATAGCTAGGTTGTGCCTCTAGTAGCTAGGTTGTGCCTCTAGTAGCTAGGTTATGCCTCTAGTAGCTAGGTTGTGCCTCTAGTAGCTAGGTTATGCCTCTAGTAGCTAGGTTATGCCTCTAGTAGCTAGGTTGTGCCTCTAGTAGCTAGGTTGTGCCTCTAGTAGCTAGGTTATGCCTTAGTAGCTAGGTTATACCTCTAGTAGCTAGGTTGTGCCTCTAGTAGCTAGGTTGTGCCTCTAGTAGCTAGGTTGTGCCTCTAGTAGCTAGGTTGTGCCTCTAGTAGCTAGGTTATGCCTCTATTAGCTAGGTTATGCCTCTAGTAGCTAGGTAGTGCCTCTAGTAGCTAGGTTATGCCTCTAGTAGCTAGGTTATGCCTCTAGTAGCTAGGTTATGCCTCTAGTAGCTAGGTTGTGCCTCTAGTAGCTAGGTTGTGCCTCTAGTAGCTAGGTTGTGCCTTTAGTAGCTAGGTTATGCCTCTAGTAGCTAGGTTATGCCTCTAGTAGCTAGGTTGTGCCTCAAGTAGCTAGGTTGTGCCTCTAGTAGCTAGGTTGTGCCTCTAGTAGCTAGTTTGTGCCTCTAGTAGCTAGGTTATGCTCTAGTAGCTAGGTTATGCCTCTAGTAGCTAGGTTGTGGCTCTAGTAGCTAGGTTGTGCCTCTAGTAGCTAGGTTATGCCTCTAGTAGCTAGGTTATGCCTCTAGTAGCTAGGTTGTGCCTCTAGTAGCTAGGTTGTGCCTCTAGTAGCTAGGTTGTGCCTCTAGTAGCTAGTTTATGCCTCTATTAGCTAGGTTATGCCTCTAGTAGCTAGGTTATGCCTCTAGTAGCTAGGTTGTGGCTCTAGTAGCTAGGTTGTGCCTCTAGTAGCTAGGTTATGCTCTAGTAGCTAGGTTGTGCCTCTAGTAGCTAGGTTGTGCTCTAGTAGCTAGGTTGTGCCTCTAGTAGCTAGGTTGTGCTCTAGTAGCTAGGTTATGCCTCTATTAGCTAGGTTATGCCTCTAGTAGCTAGGTTGTGCCTCTAGTAGCTAGGTTATGCCTCTAGTAGTTAGGTTATGCCTCTAGTAGCTAGGTTATGCCTCTAGTAGCTAGGTTGTGCCTCTAGTAGCTAGGTTGTGCCTTTAGTAGCTAGGTTATGCCTCTAGTAGCTAGGTTATGCCTCTAGTAGCTAGGTTGTGCGTCAAGTAGCTAGGTTGTGCCTCTAGTAGCTAGGTTGTGCCTCTAGTAGCTAGCTTATGCCTCTAGTAGCTAGGTTATGCCTTTAGTAGCTAGGTTATGTCTCTAGTAGCTAGGTTATGCCTCTAGTAGCTAGGTTATGCCTCTAGTAGCTAGGTTGTGCCTCTAGTAGCTAGGTTGTGCCTCTAGAAGCTAGGTTATGCCTCTAGTAGCTAGGTTATGCCTCTAGTAGCTAGGTTATGCCTTACTAGCTAGGTTATGCCTCTAGTAGCTAGGTTGTGCCTCTAATAGCTAGGTTATGCCTTTAGTAGCTAGGTTTTGCCTAGTAGCTAGGTTGTGCCTCTAGTAGCTAGGTTGGGGCCTCTAGTAGCTAGGATATGACTCTAGTAGCTAGGTTATGCCTCTAGTAGCTAGGTTATGCCTCTCGTAGCTAGGTTATGCCTCTAGTAGCTAGGTTGTGCCTCTAGTAGCTAGGTTGGGCCTCTAGTAGCTAGGTTATGCCTCTAGTAGCTAGGTTAATGCCTCTAGTAGCTAGGTTATGCCTCTAGTAGCTAGGTTGTGCCTCTAGTAGCTAGGTTGTGCCTCTAGTAGCTAGGTTGTGCCTCTAGTAGCTAGGTTATGCCTCTAGTGCTAGGTTGTGCCTCTGGTAGTTAGGTTTGCCTTGTAGCTAGGTTATGCCTCTAGTAGCTAGGTTATGCCTCTAGTAGCTAGGTTGTGCCTCTAGTAGCTAGGTTATGCCTCTAGTAGCTAGGTTATGCCTCTAGTAGCTAGGTTATACCTCTAGTAGCTAGGTTATGCCTCTAGTAGCTAGGTTATGCCTCTAGTAGCTAGGTTGTGCCTCTAGTAGCTAGGTTATGCCTCTAGTAGCTAGATTATGCCTCTAGTAGCTAGGTTATGCCTCTAGTAGCTAGGTTATGCCTCTAGTTGCTAGGTTGTGCCTCTGGTAGTTAGGTTATGCCTCTAGTAGCTAGGTTATGCCTCTAGTAGCTAGGTTATGCCTCTAGTAGCTAGGTTATGCCTCTAGTAGCTAGGTTATGCCTCTAGAGCTAGGTTGTGCCTCTAGTAGCTAGGTTATGCCTCTAGTAGCCAGGTTATGCCTCTAGTATCCATGTTGTGCCTCTAGTAGCTAGGTTATGCCTCTAGTAGCTAGGTTATGCCTCTAGTAGCTAGGTTATGCCTCTAGTAGCCAGGTTGTGCCTCTAGTAGCTAGGTTATGCCTCTAGTAGCTAGGTTATGCCTCTAGTAGCTAGGTTGTGCCTCTAGTAGCTAGGTTATGCCTCTAGTAGCTAGATTATGCCTCTAGTAGCTAGGTTATGCCTCTAGTAGCTAGGTTATGCCTCTAGTAGCTAGGTTGTGCCTCTGGTAGTTAGGTTATGCCTCTAGTAGCTAGGTTATGCCTCTAGTAGCTAGGTTATGCCTCTAGTAGCTAGGTTATGTCTCTAGTAGCTAGGTTATGCCTCTAGTAGATAGGTTATGCCTCTAGTAGCTAGGGTATGCCTGTAGTAGGCAGGTTATGCCTCTAGTAACTAGGTTATGCCTCTAGTAGCTAGGTTATGCCTCTAGTAGCCAGGTTATGCCTCTAGTAGCCAGGTTGTGCCTCTAGTAGCTAGGTTATGCCTCTAGTAGCTAGGTTATGCCTCTAGTAGCTAGGTTATGCTTCTAGTAGCCAGGTTGTGCCTCTAGTGGCCAGGTTATGCCTCTAGTAGCCAGATTGTGCCTCTAGTAGCCAGGTTATGCCTCTAGTAGCCAGGGTGTGCCTCTAGTAGCCAGGTTATGCCTCTAGTAGCCAGGTTATGCCTCTAGTAGCTAGGTTGTTCCTCTAGTAGCTAGGTTATGCCTCTAGTAGCCAGGTTATGCCTCTAGTAGCTAGGTTATGCCTCTAGTAGCTAGGTTATGCCTCTAGTAGCCAGGTTATGCCTCTAGTAGCCAGGTTATGTCTCTAGTAGCCAGGTTATGCCTCTAGTAGCCAGGTTATGGGTCTAGTAGCCATGTTATGCCTCTAGTAGCCAGGTTATGGGTCTAGTAGCTAGGTTATGGCTCTAGTAGCCAGGTTATGGGTCTAGTAGCCAGGTTATGCCTCTAGTAGCCAGGTTATGGGTCTAGTAGCCAGGTTATGGCTCTAGTAGCCAGGTTATGGGTCTAGTAGCCAGGTTATGGCTCTAGTAGCCAGGTTATGCCTCTAGTAGCCAGGTTATGGGTCTAGTAGCCAGGTTATGGCTCTAGTAGCCAGGTTATGCCTCTAGTAGCCAGGTTATGGGTCTAGTAGCCAGGTTATGGACTCTAGTAGCCAGGTTATGGCTCTAGTAGCCAGGTTATGGGTTAGTAGCCAGGTTATGCCTCTAGTAGCCAGGTTATGGGTCTAGTAGCCAGGTTATGGCTCTAGTAGCCAGGTTATGGGTCTAGTAGCCATGTTATGCCTCTAGTAGCCAGGTTATGGGTCTAGTAGCCAGGTTATGGCTCTAGTAGCCAGGTTATGGGTCTAGTAGCCAGGTTATGGGTCTAGTAGCCAGGTTATGCCTCTAGTAGCCAGGTTATGGGTCTAGTAGCCAGGTTATGCCTCTAGTAGCCAGGTTATGGGTCTAGTAGCCAGGTAATGGGTCTAGTAGCCAGGTTATGCCTCTAGTAGCCAGGTTATGGGTCTAGTAGCCAGGTTATGGCTCTAGTAGCCATGTTATGCCTCTAGTAGCCATTCATACGCTCCTTAGTTTGTTTTAGTAATATTTATATATACTTACTAGGTTAGAAATGTAGTTTTTGACTGGATAAATGACTCAGATACCTGATGGTAAACTAACAATTAATAATTACCTACCTTAAAGTCAATGTTTGGATGAGTTGCTTCCCGGAGCCACTTGGTTCCATTTCGTTCGTCGTAATACACACGCAGGCAGGGAACTTTCCTGAAGTTTATGTATCATTTAGCACCTAGTAAGACTATTAATATTAATATCAGTATGCTGCTGAGATAATAAAATATATCAATACTGGTTAATAACACTATGTAACAAAATTTCACCTTTGTCATGTTCCTGGGAAATAAACATCATTTCCCAATTCTTTATTACTAAACCAAATTTAAAAAAAACAATTTATTCTCCCAGAACTTTGCTTTTGTGAACATTGTAAGAAAACATTGGAAGGTAAAAAAGTCATTATTTATATGAAGGGTAAAATCTTCAATAGGAACATTTTTTAAATGTAATGGGAACAAGAATCCATCTCTTCCCTTGGCTCATTCAGTGCATCTTAAGGAGGACTACAACAGTGTCAAACTTACACTGGAAGCTTTGAACTATGATACGCATGGTTGGGAGGTTATTGGAGACTTCAAAATAGTGGCATTTTTGATGGGGCTCCAAGGAGGTTTTACCAAGTTTTCCTGTTATCTCTGTCACTTGGATAGAAGAGACAGAGCAGCACATTACCAGAGGAAGAATTGGCCTCAAAGGACTGAGTTCTCAGTAGGAAGATATAATATTAAATATAAACCATTGGTTGATCCTAAGAAGGTTCTGTTCCCTCCATTACACATCAAACTAGGGCTACTGAAACAGTTTGTTACAGCTCTTGACAGAGTCTGCATCTTCACTAGACCACAAGTCAGGAATATCATGGAGTGCTCAGAATATCTTAAGAAGCTCACAGAGAAGGAAAGGGAAGCCTGGGAGAGTTTTGTTGCTGTAGCACAGGGCTTTCTGGGTAACAACAAGGCTGACAATTATATGGAACCTGCTGAGATCTTGGTAAAAAGCTTTGGTCAGATGCGTTGCAGGATGTCCCTTAAGATCCATATCATTGATGCTCATCCTGACAATTTTTAGGAGAATATTTGATGTTATCCTGACGCCAAATGACTTCGAACAGGCGATAAATGACATGCCCATGCACTATGCCCCAGGGCCAGACTCATGGAACTCCGTGTTCATCAAGAACTGCAAGAAGCCCCTATCACGAGCTTTTACCATCCTATGGAAATGTAGCATGGACACAGGGGTCGTCCCACAGCTACTAAAAACAACAGACATAGCCCCACTCCACAATAGCAAAGAACTACAGACCGATAGCACTAACATCCCATATCATAAAAATCTTTGAAAGGGTCCTATAAGAAGCAAGATCGCCACCCATCTAGAAACCCATCAGTTACACAACCCAGGGCAACATGGGTTTAGAGCAGGTCGCTCCAGTCTATCTCAACTATTGGATCACTACGACAAGGTCCTAGATGCACTAAAAGACAAAATGAATGCAGATGTAATATATACAGACTTTGCAAAAGCCTTCGACAAGTGTGACCATGGCGTAATAGCGCACAAAATGCGCGCTAAAGGAATAACAGGAAAAGTTGGTAGATGGATCAATAATTTCCTCACAAACAGAACACAAAGAGTAGTAGTCAACAGAGTAAAGTCCGAGGCGGCTACGGTGAAAAGCTCTGTTCCACAAGGCACAGTACTCGCTCCCATCTTGTTTCTCATCCTCATATCAGACATAGACAAGGATGTCAGCCGTGTCTTCCTTTGCAGATGACACCCGAATTTGCATGACTGTGTCTTCCATTGCAGACACTGCAAGGCTCCAGGCAGACATCAACCAAAGGTTTCAGTAGGCTGCAGAAAACAATATGAAGTTCAACGATGAGAAATTTCAATTACTCCGATATGGTAAACACGAGGAAATCAAAACTTCATCAGAGTACAAAACAAATTCCGGCCATAAAATAGAGCGAGAAACCAACGTCAAAGACCTGGGAGTGATCATGTCGGAGGATCTCACCTTCAAGGACCATAACATTGTATCAATCGCAGCTGCTAGAAAAATGACAGGATGGATAATGAGAACCTTCAAAACTAGGGATGCCAAGCCCATGATGACACTCTTCAGGTCGCTTGTTCTATCTAGGCTGGAATATTGCTGCACACTAACAGCACCTTTCAAGGCAGGTGAAATTGCTGACCTAGAAATGTACAGAGAACCTTCACGGCGCGCATAACGGAGATAAAATACCTCAGTTACTGGGAGCGCTTAAAGTTCCTGAACCTGTACTCCCTGGAACGCAGGCGGGAGAGATACATGATTATATACACCTGGAAAATCCTAGAGGGACTAGTACCAAACTTGCACACGAAAAGCACTCACAACGAAAGCAAAAGACTTGGCAGACGATGCAACATCCTCCCAATGAAAAGCAGGGGTGACACTAGCACGTTAAGAGACAATACAATAAGTGTCAGGGGACCGAGACTGTTCAACTGCCTCCCAGCATACATAAGGGGGATTACCAATAGACCGCTGGCTGTCTTCAAGCAGGCACTGGACAAGCACCTAAAGACGGTACCTGACCAGCCGGGCTGTGGCTCGTACGTTGGATTGCGTGCAGCCAGCAGTAACAGACTGGTTGATCAGGCTCTGTTCCACCAGGAGGCCTGGTCACAGACCGGGCCGCGGGGGCGTTGACCCCCAGAACTCTCTCCAGGTACACTGCAGGTACTCATAGCAGCAAGGGGAACACTTCCACCAAGATATAATAAACTGTGAACACAGACATCAGGGATCTTATAATAAAAACATGATGGCACACTATATTTGGCAGCTTAAATGGGAAACTGACTTGTTGCTGATCACAAATCTAGAAAAACTGCTCAGTTTTAATTTTGTAAATATGGTTCTAAAAGTTTATTTGTGTAAAATTTATTTATTTTATTGTATGTTTTTGTTTTACATTAAAAACCAGCAAAAAAATATTGAAATTTAGCCTTTTTTTTCAAAAATTCATCGTGTAAGCCACAAAAGCAAAGTTTAAAAGGGATAATTAATAATTAATAATGGGAATTTTGTATTTTTGCAATAAAAGGAGCTGGAAAATAACACTTGCCAAGAACAAATTGTCTTACATAGTGTAATAAGTTCAACAGTTGTGTCACTTAATATTTTGGAAAGGTTGATTTTGTTATTAAACAAATCGGAATTATTTAAAAAAAAAACATAAGAATCGCTGCAGTTGGGCCGTTGGTTCATGTTAGGTTTTTCCAACTAACATCCACCAACACACCTGTTATATGGTTAGTGACTGATGTAGCATAACTACACACCTGTTATATGGTTAGTGACTGATGTAGCATAACTACACACCTGTTATATGGTTAGTGACTGATGTAGCATAACTACACACCTGTTATGTGGTTAGTGACTGATGTAGCATAACTACACACCTGTTATATGGTTAGTGACTGATGTAGCATAACTACACACCTGTTATCAATTACAATACTTCCCTCACAATATATTCAGTGAATTTTTTCAAATATTTTTTACACTTTTTATAATATCAGATGTAATATCTGAATGGCAATTAATAAATGCATAGATTTATAAATCTTTTTCTGTACAAATGTACAGAAAGTACCAGCAGTTAATTTTGTTTACCTGTCACCATCGTCGTTACAAGCTACGCTGATTTATTCATGAAAATAGTCTTTATTCCTCTGTTGATTAAGTCTGAGATGCCTGATATTATTTCTGCCCAGGAGAGTCTGTCCAAGAAGTTATCTCCGTAACTGTACATTAGTTATGAAGTAATTACAGGACAACTCGCCTTGACGAGGAAGTACGTAGACCTGCAACCCCATTCTCTTTTACTCTCTACTTGCTCCTGCCCCTATTCCCTTATGCAAGCAGTTCCACTTGAACTGTACGAAAACCGACCTGTTTTCACAGGTATGACCCTTAAAAGACGTCCTTGTTTTAATATCGATCCTAGCCAGTACCGTGTAAAGTTGCATCTCGGCGCCCCCCTCCCCTGGGCCTTGCATTCCTTCCCGCGTCCAACACTCCTGAGCCTCTATCTGCCCAGCGACTGGGTTAAGCTGGTAAGTAAGACACATAGGCAACAGTTAGGTATCTTTATTCCGAAACGTTTCGCCTACACAGTAGGCTTCTTCAGTCGAGTACAGAAACTAGGCAGGAACAGTAGAGATGTATATCATTTTGATATTCACTCTGTCAGACACTGCAACATAAGGACATCTTGGTACAGAAGAAGAAAACACTTTGGACAACATTTTTAAGAGAGAATGGTTGGACCTGAGAGGGACGTGACCTCTCAGTGATCACATTCTTTCTACTACCACTCTTCACCTCTTCTTCCGACTGTATACAAGTCTCGACACTGTTGCTTGGTCTCCACATTGTTTCAGAGTATGGAACATCTCCAGGCTGAGGGACTGACAACCTCAAAACTACCACTTCAAGGGTGATGGACTGATTACATCGTCTTCACATCTCTACTGTTCCTGCCTACTTTCCGTACTCGACTGAAGAAGCCTACTGTGTGGGCGAAACGTTTCGGAATAAAGTTGCCTAAATGTTGCCTATGTGTCTTACTTACCAACTTGTGGGTATTATATACCATTTTAATATTCAGACTGGGATAAGCCCTGGTACTATTCCTTCCACTGGAACCTTCCTCTCACTTACATATTCTTCCACTATCTCCACTTCCCTGCTCACCCCATGGGGGTCTTACCTATTCTATCTTGTTCTTGTTGTTGGAGAAGTCTTCCACACGTACATATACTGTCACCTGACGTACAGCCTCACACAGAAGACACCAAAATCTTTAATACAGTTGTTACATGCTTGACATTACATATTAAACATTTTGTAATATATTTACATCACCTACCTGTACAGGTGTGTGAGGGCTTGTCTAACATGTGCCACCTGGAGAGGTTCACGTGTGATAAGGCTAAGTTGATAACAGATAAGAAAAGTTCGACGTTGATGTGCTAACTCGGCGATGTACTCTAAAGATCCAGCTTCTCTTATCCAGGTCACGTCCAGGTCATCCATCTTCCTGATTTCCAAAGATTAAGAAATTTAAAATATATCTGGAAAAAGTATAATTGTATTGATTAAAACTGAAAGAAACTGTCGTGGTTACCACCAAAAAAATAAAATGCATACTTTGAAAATGGTTTAAATACCGACAGGTTGTTAGGTAAGACACATGTGCAACAGTTAGGTATCTTTATTTCGAAACGTTTCGCGTACACAGTAGGCTTCTTCAGTCGAGTACAGAAAAGTTGATAGAAGAGATGTGAAGACGATGTAATCAGTCCATCACTCTTGAAGATGTAGTATTGAGGTGATCAGTCCCTCAGCCTGGAGTATTTGTTACATAGTCTGAAACAATGTGAAGTTGAAGTGACACTATGGAGACTTATATACTGTCAGGAGGTGACACCACCTTGGACAACTGTCAGGAGGTGACACCTTCTAGCTTTTGCACTAATCTCTTATAAGAAAGTGTATCAAAGGCCTTCTTGCAGTCCAAGAAAATGCAATCAACCCACTCCTCTCTCTCGTGTCTTACTTCGGCTACCTTGTCATGAAACTCCAGTAGGTTTGTAACAGGATTTTCCTTCCCTGAATCTGTGCTTACTCTCGTTTATGAGCTTGTTTCGCTCTAGATGCCCCACCACTCTCCTCCTGATAATCTTCTCCATGACTTTGCACACTATACATGTCAATGATACTGGTCTATAGTTTAGTGCCTCGTGTCTGTATCTTCTCTTAATACTGGGGACTACATTTGCCGTCTTCCATACCTCAGGTAGTTGCCCAGTTTCAATGGATGTGTTGGAAATTGTTGTTAATGGCACACACAACATCTCTGCTCACTTTCTAAGAACCCTCGGAGAGGTATCAAGTTCACTTATCTTCACCTTCTCGATTGTGTATTTCATCCAGCACTTGTTGATATATCCCTTGTTGGTGTACCTCTCTATTCTGACTTCCTGTGGTCCTTTCTGTCTCCACTGTAAATCCTTAGATCTCATGTTGAGCTCCTTACAGGCTTCTTGGTCGTTTCTTGTGAGCTCCCCACATTTTTTCCTCAGCCCGATGTGGCTATAAAGCAGTTTTGGGTCAGACTTGACTTTGGATGCTATGTCATTTTCGTACTGTCGGTGGGCCTCTCTCCTAATCCGTGCATACTCGTTTCTGGCTCCCCGAATAATATCTTTATTTTCCTTGGTCCTTTGTCTTCTGTACATTTTCCATTAGTTTTTGCCTCCCTACACCTTTGGGTAAACCAAGGGCTTGTTCTGATCTTCCCATTATTTCTATTCCATTGGGAACAAACCTTTCCTCTGCCTCCTTGCATTTTGTTATTACGTAGTCCATCATTTCATTTGCTGATTTTTCTACCAATTCTCTTTCCCACTGAACCTCCTGCAGGAAGTTCCTCGTGCCTGTGTAGTTCCCCCTTTTCCATCCTATTCCTTATACCCTCTCCACTTGTTACTATGTATTCAAAGCTCAGAACCACGTGATCACTAGCTCCATGGGGCCTTTCATAGTGATGTCCTCGATGTCTGAGCTACTCAGGTTGAATACGTGATCCAATGTTGCTGGTTCATCCTCCCCTCTCTCTCTGGTAGTGTCCCTAACATGTTGATGCATGAGGATTACCAGTACCACATCCATCAGTACCATCGCTTTCCAGTACCACCAGTGCCATCATTGTGGGACCCCCCATGTGGCTCCAAGTTTTCCCAATCAATCTCCTTGTGGTTGAAAGCACCCATAGCTGGTAACTTTGCTCTACCTGTGTGAGCTTTTCTGGCTACCTCAGCTAGTGTTTCAATCATTGCTCTGTTGCTCTCTTCATATTCTTCACTTGGCCTCCTGCAGTTCTGTGGCAGGTTGTACATCACTGCAATGACTATGTTATGTCCCCCAGACTGCTCCTTTCCCTCCGCTGCCTCTATCTTTCTTCAAGATCTGATATCTGGGTGGGAAAACTGCATCTGTTATAATCCCTGTGAGCTTTGTTTCTGTTGGGGCTATGATGTCTGGGGATGTATCCTTAATTCTTTCATGCCACTCTTCATATTTATTTGTTATACTATCCACATTCGTATACCAAAACCTTCAACTTCTTTTTGAAAACTGTGGTCTGGGGAGAACGTTGCGGTTGGGGAGTGGGAGACCTGGCAGGGATCTATGGGGGGTTTCTGTGGGGGTGGAGTTTGTGATGAGGGGGGTGGGGGCAGTTTCTGCCTTTCTTCTTGTGTTCTGTTACGGTCGAGGTACACCCTCCTGTATGTCGGTATGTCCTTTAGTCATGCTTTCTCCTGCAGGATTTGTTTCAGGCCAATTCTGCTTTAAATTTATAAATTTTGGGCCTTTTTTTGTTTGCTTGTGTGTATATTTGAACCTTATTGAGCCAAATAGGCAGAACTCCCTTAAAATATTGAACTTTTCCTCATAATATTTGATACTGAATGGTAACTAAAAAATTTCATTGAGACGAAGGAATACTGGCTGGGAAGCTCTGGGAGGCAGAGGGGGGCTTTATTCAAAGGTGGTTGATAAGTCTCAATGAAAAGGGAAAAAATTTAGCCCAAAAATTTAGGGGGGGGAAAAAAAAAGGGAAAAAAGCAAAGAGCTTCAAAAAAAAAAAAAGGGAAAGTTAAAAAGGGGAAAGAAAAAATAGAAGCGAAGAGAGAAAATTAAGTTAGTTAGGTTTTGGTTAAATGAACACATTTTAAGTAATTTTTGGGGGGCTGAAAATTGGGTTTTTTTTTTTTGGGGGATGAGTTGCAATTTTATTTAAAGTTTTTTTTTTTGGTTTGCTTGGGCGTTTTTTTTAGTGTTCTGTCGTAAATTTTTTTGCCTTGGTTTTAATTTTTGGTTTTTATGTAATTTATTGTATTCATGTTGCATACTGGTTAAATTTTTTGGGTGACATTGTGTAATTTATGGTGTTTATTTGTGTAAAATTTTTGGTTTTCATGGTGTTTTAAATTTTTGGTGATTTGGTTTTTAATTTTTGGTGTCATGGTGTTAAATTTTTGGTTTTTCTTTGGGGTAATATATTTTTGTCATGGTGTAAATTTTTTTGGTGACATGGTGTAATTTATGGGGTCATGGTGTAATTTTTTTGGTGTCATGGGTGTTTTAAAATTTTTTGGTTTTCATGGTGTAAAATTTTTGGTGTCGGGGGTAAAATATGGTGTCTTTGGTTTTAAATTTTTGTGCTCATGTTTGTAAAGTGAAATCGAGGGGGGAGGAGTTGGGGTTTTTTGGTTTTAAAATGGATCTTTTTTTTGTGGTGTTTTGGAAATTGTTTAAGTAAAAAATATGTATCAAACCCATTTGTGGGGTTTCAGGGGTCGAGTTTCCCAGCTCCCGGGCCCCCCCTTTTTCACCGGGTTTCTTTCTGGGCCCCCTCTCTCCCCCCTCATGGCTTTATCAAACCTTTGTTTAAAACTGTGTATGTTTCCTGCCCCCACTACGTATTTTCTAGGCTATTCCCCTGCCCTTTTCAACTCTAAAGCTGAAAGAAATATTCCCACTATCCCCTGACCATTTGTGTCTTCAACTTCCAATTGTGGCCTTTGGTTTTTGTGTCCCTCGGGAAAAAATCTGTCTTGTCCCCCCTTGTCTATTCCAAGCAGTATTTTATATTTTCGTTTATGTCTCCCCGACCCTCCCGTTTCCCCCAAATTTTTTTTGGGCAGGGGCCCAAATTTTCCCCAAAATCTTTTTTCTTCATAGGACATTCCCTAGCCTGGAACTAACCTTGTCGCAAAACTTTGTACTTTCTCTAGTTTCTTGACGTCCTTTATCATGTGCTGGTTCCAATCAGGTGCTGCATACTCAGTATGGTCCTGCATACACGGTGTTACAGTGTCTTGAACGATTCATTACTAAGGTATCGGAATGCTGTTCTCAGGTTTGCCGGCGCCCTCTGCTGCTACAGTTATCTGATTGATGTGTGCTTCCGGAGTCATGCTCGGTGTATACTCACCAAGATCTTTCTCTTGCAGTGAGGTTTGAGTCTTTGGCCACCTTGCCTATACTCTGTCTGTGGGTATGCTGTGCCCTTCCATATCTTCATGGACTGCATTTGGCAGATTTAAATTCGAGATGCCATTTGTGTGTGTGTGTGTGTGTGTGTGTATAAGTGGGTACTAATCCTTATAAGTGAGGATGAGTGTGCATAAATGTGTTTTGAGTTTGTATGCATGTTAGTAAATATTATTTGTAAGTTTTAAGATATTAGAGTTTTTACTAAGAAATATTTTAATTAAACATCGCTATGAAAAATGAATAATTTCGATAATGGTATGTTTTGAACAATACCACAGAGTGGTTACAATTGGGTATGACTCACGAAATCGTAATGACACGATTGCAAACCATACCCTCGTTGGGGTTTGATACGTGGTCAGTGGCTAATGCTACAGTTTTTGAGACTTCTCTGACCCGCGGAGTTCAAACCCAATCAGTGGTATGCTTTGTTTATAAATTTTCTATTGTTTAAATGAAATGCCATAGTGTGTCACGTCGCTATTATTAGCTAGAGCGTAGTACTAGACAGTGCGCTGGTTACTGTGGTGAGGCTGGGAGTCTGGGGTTGGTTAAAGGTGAGTTTGTGGTGTTGAATATTGGTACTTATGAAAGCAAGTGAAGTCACTAGGAGTGGAGTTGTTATGGTGGAGGTGGGGGGGTAACATGGATAGAATCTTGATCCAAGATGCAGGAGCAAGTATGGTCCTGAAGGTTGAGGGGAAGGTGTGGCTGGGGATATATCTGCGGCAACACATTCTAAAGCCAATATAGCCCAACAAAAAGCCACCAGTAAGATTAACTCCACTAATCCCATCCCTGGCAGCACACCCCACCACTCTTCATAGATCTAAACTTACTCCCTGTTCAGACATCCACACTTATATGTGCAATCTAATTACAGACCTTAAATTCCAATATTAACTTTGATCTAAAACGCTTTTCGTGATTTGGTTAGTTTTTTATGACAGAACCCACAGGCATAACACCAGACAT